CCCTTTGGGGGTTGAACGACCCTTTCACAGGGGTCACCTAAGACCATCCTGCATATCAGATATTTACATTACGATTCATAACAGTAGCAAAATTACAGTTATGAAGTAGCAACGAAAATAATTTTATGGTTGGGGAGTCACAACATGAGGAACTGTTTTAAAGGGCCAGAAGGTTGAGAACCACTGCTCTAGGGTGATCAATTATCCTGTAAAGTGTTGTAATCAGAATTGACACTAGCTTTGTCTAATTAGTAAAAAGAATGGCTAGGAATAATTTTAGATTGATGACATTTTTGGTGTTTAAGCTATACAGTTAATGAGAAATAGCATGACATTTTACCAACCTTACATGAATAAGGTACAAGAAAGCAACCAACCCCGAAATCTTTGCAGATTGTGGAGCATTTAACGTCTAGGGCCTACCAGCTCCACCTCTACATTTCAGAATGGGTTCTGCTATCCCTTTTGCCAAAGAACCCTGGACAGCCGTCCTCTGGGAAGGGAGCTTGGGGTATAGTGGAGGGCCTGAGGCCGCCTCCCCGAAGCTGGAGCTGATGCCTGCTTGCTGGTGGACTTCTGGAATTTGGTCTAAGACTTGACTAGGAGGGTAGCCCGGCTCCAGGGAGTGGGAAGAACATCACACCCGTCTCCCACCACCTGACTTTATAACACTGATCTGACTTCACCTGGATGCCACAATCGCTTAGGTTGGGTTTCTTTTCCAATCTCTATTCCTTACCCTTGGTTTGCTATTTCACTTAACCAGTTGTTTTGTCCCTCAGCTTCCTTAAGCCTTGGGTTGAAACTTAGCCCATATAAGAAGCTTTCTTTTTGTGCTCCATAAAGTCTCATTCTGATGGAAGGAACCTATGTGAACATAGCCAGGCCGGCAGGACACAAAGTGCATTTTACAAAGCTGCTCCCTTCCCACTCAGGAAGGCTCCTGGAGTAGCCTCTTCTAGAAGTCCAGATTGGAAACACTGACTCTTTCAGGTTCTCATTTACATATCAATGCCGCCCTCCTCCCTGCCTAGTGGTTGACTGCTGAGGGCAACAGGAGTGTGGGGAGAGGGCAGCATGGAGATGAATATTTCAGGATATTCTCTTACAGAGCACATGGGCTCCTCAGAGCCGCGCAGCAGGTGTGGGGGGTCATCTGGTGTTTCCACATGTCTAAGCTGGGGATGCTCAGGTTCAGAGAAGCTGGATGCCCTCCCAGGTATAACAGGGCCCCAAATTAGCTGTGCTCTGATCTCCCCCATACAAAGTGCACTGTAGGGACTTCAGGGGACATGAACTTCTGCCTTCTGTCTACCTCAGCGAGGGAGTGAAACAGAGAAGGGTGCACTGGTGAACGGAAACCTTCCCCAGGAGCTACGATCTACTGAGACCCTCTCCCGGGAGAGCCACATAGGTGCTGGAAAACATGCACGTTACAAATATGGACAACTAACGCAGCAGTCGCCTGAAACAAGGCAGCTAGGCAAAGACTAGAACTTTCTTTCAAGTGAACCCTAGAGCTACTATTGTGGTGGTGCTGTAAGACCCCAGGAGCCGAGTTTTCCAAGCCTGCTATCTGAGGCCTGCCCACTCTTCGGATCCTGCCAGAGCTTCTCCATTCTGAGGCATCCCCTGAGCGTTCTCTCTGTTTCTTGGGCTGCTGTTCCAACTCCGCTGCCTTTGATCGCTGGTGAGCTGGGCACGTTGTTTTCCAAGTGTCTAGTATTTTTGATCTTCATCACAAATTCTCCCAGCGCTCTCAATACAATGTTTTAAAATAGCCTCCCGGATTCCTGGGAGTTATTAACTTACAGTGTGACGATTAATTTACTCCCGAACCCTCATGCCTATGTATTTTTTCAAAGTTCTATTTTCAAACATTAAATAACTATGCGATGAGCATCTTTCCTATAGTATCCTGTTCCACAGAGAGGCTGTACACAGGCCTGTCTCCTGGGCAAGTGGGGAAGGGAGTGGCCTGGGGTAAACAAGTTTAAAGTGAGAAAATAAGTTGGTTTTTACAAATTGTAGTAAAACAATACATAAAATAAAATTTTCCATTTAACCAGGTTAAGTGTATAGTTTAGAAGTCCATTGCATTCATCAGCTCAGGCTGCTAACACATTAGCGTAGACTGGGCGGCTTAAACAGAAATCTGTTTCTCACCTCTGGAGTCTGGCAAGTCCAAGGTCCGGGTCCCTGAAGGTAAATCTCATTCTGAAGGCTCTTCACCTGGCTTGTAGGCGGCCGCCTTCTTGCTGTGTGATCACAAGGCCTTTCTGTGGGTGTGATGGAGAGAGCAAGCTTTCTGGGGTTTCTTCTTGTAAGGCCAATAACCTCAATAATGAGGGCTCTACCCTCAGGACCTCATCTAACCCTAATACCTCCTGAAGGTCCCATATTAATAGGCCACCATTTGGGGCCAGAGCTGCAATGTATGAATTTGGAGGGGGGCACACACATTCAGTCCATAATAGTTAATTATCTGATGGGTATAAAGGACACATTAGAAATAGCTGGGACCAACAGAGACCTAACAACATTGATAAAATGATTAGAGCACTAGGCAGGGGCTGGCCTGGGGGGAAGACAATAGCCAGCTGGTTTGGGAAATAGCTGAGGAACCAGGCAGCCCCTGTTCACCCTGGTGACTCAGAGACACGGACAATGAAGAGCCCGGTGCACTGAGAGTCCCGCCAGGCCTCTGTGGTGACAATGACAAGGCCGCGTGCAAGCTGTCATTCATTTCATTGCCTGGATACTGGAAATAGACTCAAGGAAGGAAGAACCAGGAATCACTTTGTTTATGCTTGTAGGTTTGCATTCTTTTCTCGACAATAGCCAGCTGGTTTGGGAAATAGCTGAGGAACCAGGCAGCCCCTGTTCACCCTGGTGACTCAGAGACACGGACAATGAAGAGCCCGGTGCACTGAGAGTCCCGCCAGGCCTCTGTGGTGACAATGACAAGGCCGCGTGCAAGCTGTCATTCATTTCACTGCCTGGATACTGGAAATAAATAGACTCAAGGATGGAAGAACCAGGAATCACCTTGTTTATGCTTGTAGGTTTGCATTCTTTTCTC